GACAGACTATAATTAAGTTTAAAAGAAAAGAAAATATACTTTTTTTACAAACAAATAACATGAAACATGTCTCAAATAAAGATTTATCATTCAAAAGTGATATGTAGCTACAAACTGATACGTGTGAAATGTTGCATATAATTGTTATGTTTCTAATTTCATTTTTGGCCTAAATATTATTAATTTGTTACTTTTTTGGCTTAACTTTAGTTAGGAACTTAATTGGAGAGTGTCAGCCCAAAATCCACGGCTGGAAGCAGAATCGGCAGCTTACCAAACGTCATGATAAGAGTCGTGGACACAAACACAATTAAAATCAGTTGTAGTAGATTTCGTGATTTGATCAGTAAAATCGAAAAGATTAGGCAGGATTGAATGAAAATCTTTGTAACAAATCCTTAATTTAGGGAGATTTTCTCTTTAACCACTTAGAATCCTTGTGTATAAATACCCTTAATTTAGTTTATTAGGTAGATTGGATTTGAGCACTTTTATTTATATTATTTTCAACGATAAAGTTTCTTATTTTCATTCTTTATTTTACTTCTTTAATTTTTTATTGTACAAAAATGCTAAACATGTTTCAATTCATGTTCAGCTAAACCTTTAATTAGCCTAAGTTCTTCGACAATCCAATCGGAGGTCATGAGAATTGAGTTTAGTGCTTAATACTTTCATGATAGTATTCATCGTTTCTCTGGAATATAGGAGTGAGAATCTACTATTCCTTTAAAAGTTAAATCACCTTCAACTCAAAAAGGCGATATTAACTTAAAGGTTGTTTTACCGGAAGTTTGGAAGTCAGGTCAATTGGTTGTAATTTGGCTTCATGTGAACAAACTTGACGTTGATCCGACAAAGGGAAACAAGATCAGATTTGAACAAATACTCGTTGGTGAGATAGTTTTATCTCAAGTTGGGCTCTTGTAGAACTTAAGTCTATTGTAATCCTAAATCACAATTATTGTGGTTAGATCATTAGACAAGAATCAAATTTTAAGGTTTGTTCGAAGTAGGGGTGTAAACGAGCCGAGTCGAGCTCGAGTATTGCCGAGCTCGACTCGAACTCGAAAACTTTAAATGTAGGCTCGACTCGACTCGAAAACTCGCGAGCCTAAAATTTTCAAGCTCGACTCGAACTCGAAAGATAATATTAAAACTCGACTCGTACTTGAAAAGGCTCGAACTCAAAAAATATTCAAGAGCTCGATTGAAGCTCGAGACTCGAGCTCGATTGAAGCTCGATTTTGTTGAGCTTGATTCAAGCTTGAACTCGATTAAAGCTCGAACTCAAACTCGAATTTGATCCTTAGGGGTAAATTAGCTTTAGGCTCTCTAGATTTATGCATTTTGTACAAAACAGTCCCTCAATTATTTAAATTTTAGCTTAAATTAGTCCTCACATTTAGATTTTTCTTAATTTAGTCTCTGTCTAGGATTGTTTTCTTTAATTAGTTGTGTATATTTATTTTGCATGTTGATATGTTTATGTATAAGTATGTGAATAATTTATTTATGAGCCACATAACATAATTTTGCATAATTTGTATGTTACCTTCATGTCATAACTTAAACCCTAACACATAAACCCTAAACCTTAACACATAAACCCTAAACTCTAAACTTTAAACCTTAAATCCTATCACATAAACTCTAAATCCTAAACCCTAAACCTTATCACATAATTAGTTATGAGGTAAGTACAATATAGTATCTTGATATTAAATGCTCAAACCCTTGATATTTTATGATATTTGAACCCAAAACCTCAAAATATAACAACAATTTAAAAAATTAGTTATTACAAATATTTTCATTAGAAATATATTAAATATTTGTCGTTAGAGAAATAATTTTTTTTATCAATTTAAAATAAATATAAGAATATTTATTCAAAAATAATTTTTAACCATTTTCAATTCAAGAATATTTATTCATCAATAATGTATTTTTAATATATTTTTAATAATGTAATTTTAAAAAATATAAAATTATAATATATATTTTTTCGAGCTGCTCACGAGCTTTTCGAGTCGAATATCGAGTAGCTCGTTTCGGCTCGTTAAGAACTCGAGTCGAGTTCGAGCTCGAGTCGAGTCCATTCGATCCGAGTATTTATCGAGCCAAGATCGAGTCGATCTCGAGTAGCTCGCGATCTGTCTCGTCTCATTTACAGCCCTAGTTCGAAGTCGGTTAATAAAGGAAGAATTAGCTACAAGAGTTGGTTTCTTCAGGTTATAATCAGCTTACTATCAAGAAGGAAAAACCAATTTCGATGAACAATCGTAATTTGGGCTAAGCAAAGCTTAAGACTAAGAAATTTCGTATTTGATTTCTTTTGTTATTTACTCAATTATTTATTTTATTTTTATTCATAATCTTTACTATCTACTTCATCTAAACCCATTTTCATATATTTTTACAGTTATTTCAAAATATTTAAACAATGAAACAACATTATCAAATTTCCTAAGTCTCTGTGGATCGATTCTACTTCTCTATACTATTGTTTATCTTTAATAAAAATTAAAAAATTTATATTTTACGAACTCAACACCTTATCACAAATCAAGTCAAATATCTACACTCAATTACTCTTACATATTAAACTTATATTATATCAAATTTCTCAATAAATAATTTCTTAATAAAACTTAAAAAATTAAGAAATATTTTAAAAATTTTAAATACTCCTATTAAATCTTATAATATTTATAGAAATAAATAATATATGCATAAATTGTTAGATTTTTGTTGCAATGTATTATCTTTATCTAAGAATCGAAGTCTCTCTTTTTTTTAAAAAAAAATTGATAAATAGTTTACTTTTATTTTAATAATAAAAATTGCTTTTTATTTTATAATTTAAAATTAAAATATTATTGAGATATAATATTATTTTTAAAATTATTTATATCAATATTTATTCAAATATAATTATTATGTTATTTTTTTAGTTTTAGTAAAAGTATTATATTTATAATTAAATATTAAATATCTAGTTAAAAATTTTAGTAGAGAATAAAACTTATAATTGACCATTTTATTTCTTCACCAAATAAGTTGCACCGTAAATCTTTCGGATCAGATCATTACAAAATTTAAGTCAAAAACTCTACATGCCTTACCGGACCTGAGTTAAATTATCATCCCTAGATGATCATCGAATAATTATGAGTTGAAATTGAACTTAAATGATATGATTGACAAAAAAAGATACGTTTATTACAAGAATATATCAATAATTCTATATATATTCGATTGAACTCATATCGTACTCATCCCAAATTGACCAGAAGGTCGAAAGATTAACTCAAGCTAAAAACTAATTGATTCAATATTGACACGACCCATAAAGTAATCGATATGATATTGACCTGATTTGAAAATTTGTCGATTTGTTATTGACTCGAATAAAAAATAGATTAATATTATATTGACCCGATCTAAAAAAATATCTAATATTGATCCGAGTTGAAATTCAATTCGACCTAATATACCATAGACAAAAATTAAATATAAATTAAATTTGATCCAATCCAAATCAAATTTAAATCTAATACAATCTATACCTAAAATACCTCTACCCAGAATCCAAACGATGGATTGTCACTTTTATTTACATTGTGCCAACACATCCTGACCCATGTTAGATATATTAGATTTGAATAATTTATTTTTAAAACTTACTTGCACAGTAAATCATATGTAAGACAATTAAATATTTAACATTGAATTAAAATCTTGTTGATTTTTTCTCTCCTAGTTTTCTTTCATAATTTTTTATCGGTAAATTGTTATCATTTTTTTTCTTTATTAATCAACGACGGCACAAATTTTAATGTTTATTGTTGATTGTCGGTATTCTTTATTATTCTTTTCTTTTTTTCTTTTTAATAAGTTTACCTATATAATACGTTTTTATCTTTCTTTATGACATATTTTTTATGTCTTTTGGCACATTTTTCGGTCACTAACACGTTTTCTTCTGTCTTTTGACACGTTTTCGGTTGATTGGTCATTGTGTTAGCTTATCTTTTTCTAAGGGTGGATTAGACATTGCCAAGATGATGTTTATTTGTTATGTTGTTGATCTTCTCTGCTTTTGACCATCGGATTAGATTTAGGCAACTGTTATAGGTTTGTTGGTAGCTTTTCCACATCGCTCGAGTCATATTTGCAATATGTCGGTGGTCTTTCAGTAGCTTGATCTCCTTTTTGTAGTTCGTTTGTCGATGTGGTCAAATCTGTTTGTATCTATCTTTGTTCTAGTTTTCTTGTTTAAATTTTAATATTTCCTTGTATAGTCATTATGTGAGATTAAGTTACTAATTTTATTTCAATAGTTATAGAAAATTATCCTATTTATGTGTTTAATTTACTATTATGATGATAAATATTTATTATAATTTAAAATATTTCTTATTTTGAATAAAATTAATAATTTCTATTAGAAAAAACTTACTCACTTGCATGATTAAAGCCTATTAAAAGACTGTTGTGGTTATGATGATAAATATTTATTGTAATTTAAGATATTTCTTATTTTAAATAAAATTAATAATTTCTATTAGAAAAAACTTACTCACTTACATGATTAAAGCCTATTAAAAGTCTGTTGTGGCACCAAATTTGTCCAACACGAGCCCGAACCCCCAAGATTAGGGATGAATATAAGATTCGAATTTGATAGATTAGGTCGGGTTCGAATTTAAGGTAATAACAAAATTAAAAAATAATAAAATTATATCTTATATATTTATAGATAATTATAACAATATTTTTCTTTATATTATTTTTTCAATTAAGTTCCTATTTTATTGAATAAAATTAATAATTTTAAATTATTTCAGATCGAATCGGTTTAGAGTTAGATTTTATCTAAAAATAGATTAAATTTTAGATTGAATAAAATTACCCTAAACTCAAGTAAAATCAGATTTTGATAAACAACATAAAAATTTTGAGTCGGTCGAACCTACCGAAAATCTGACCCACGCCCATCTGGCTTATACTTCCAAATGAACGTAGGTTGAGCTCATTACTGTTATTTAGGAAGCCCGGAACGCCGTCATGGGCTTACCGGAATCAATCATCTTGATCCAGCAGCCTCCATTCAAGCGGTTTCCACACTCCAACAAGAAGCTGTCGTCCATCTCAGGTCACCCAACTTTCACAAACATATTTCACTTCCAACTGATTACGACAATTTTTGGGTGTGTAGAGAGAATAGAATCGATGGCTTTTAGGGGAGGGCGAGGACGGGGATGGGGATTTGGTGGTGGTTATTTTAAGTCTGAACCCTTTGTGCTGTTCCCTGTAAGTTTTCTTGAAACTTGTTGTTTTCCAGCCCTGGGTTTTCAGAACCCTCGGTTTTAAACTTCCTTTTTGTATGTATTTTTGGTTTTTTTTTTTTGTAGGATATTGAATTGCCTGATGCAAAAGCCGTGCCAGAAGAGAAAGCCTTAGTCATCTGGAATTCAAGGTTGAGAAACTATTGGAAAGCCTCTCCTTACTATATTGAAGAAAATGTTTCAAAGAGTAAGTGCCTTAAATTTTAGCTTTTGATTAGTTTGATAGCCGTAGATGCGTCGTGTTTTTGCTTCAGCTGAATGATCTTGCTGCGCCTAAAGAACCCGAACAAGTTTTTTCGGATAATTTCAACTTTCTTTGCTTGTTCAAATCAATAATCTTTGAAAATGTGAGAAGACAACTTAAAGAGTGTGCTTCATGACACGAATTATGTCCGCCTAGCAATTGAACTCTACCAACATGATAAATTATTTTCGAATTCGCACGCCGAATGTCTAATGGTTTCATGCATTCTGCAATGAAATAATTTCATTGTTTTGTTAGTGTTTGTACAAACTGTTTGTAGCAGCCTCGGAGAAACTGTTTTGCATCTCGATATTACCATGCTTGACATTTGCCCAAAATTTCTTTTTTTTATGTCCGAAACTCGCATCTTCAACAATTTTTCCGGTATTGAAAATGCTTGTTTTCCGGTTCATACCCTCATATTCTTTGTTATCATGTTTGATTCATGATTTCAAAATAGTGATGTGATGCACATATTCCTAGTTTGTCAAAGTTTCCAATTTTCTTTGATGCAGTCTTACAATTTTGGTTGTTAACTTTTCCCATTTTCCAGCTGCTGAATTGGTTCTTGCTTAGCAATATTGTTGTTGCAAAGTCAGATCTTATATTTAGTTATATTGTAAATATTTTTGTTTTTTTTATATTGTTTTGCTAGAAAACCAGAGCATAGATATAGAAAGATTTTCTGACTGGGGGAAGCCAAAGAACACCTCGAAACGCAATAGTCTTAACCAGGTTCTACAACTCCAATCTCATAATTTTCCGAAAGAACTGATTCAAGGTTTGTAACGGAGACGACTTATGCAAATATTTGATTGGTGGTAACTATATACTATGTATATTGTACTTTAGCTTTACTTTTCCTTTTTGCTGGTTCGGCTATAACCGAATATTGGAATTTCAGATTCAAGCAGAGGGCAGCGGAGTGCCAAAAAAATGCGATGGAATCTAGACTCAGGTTTGAAAAGCATCCTTCTTTTCCTGTATTTTATATTCTATTTTATAGCATCGGGTAATGGTTGTGGTTAATAGATTCCTCCAGTGAATGTATTTTCAACTTTGCATATTGTTAAGAAACTCTCAACCTTCTACATGTTTACATGGTTCATGGGCAGTATTATAGCCAGTAATCTAGCTACTTACCAACAACTATAGAGGTGGTTTAATGTTATGTTGCACGGATACTCGGACTTGGGTGTGTCGTACATGGGGTATGTATTTGACACAAATGTACAATTTTTTTCAAGATTTCCATGTATTTGGGAAGTCCTGGGAGGATTATATCTCCTTACCCATACCCGAATATATGTAAAACACTGGGCAGTTAAACAAAAAATAGTGAAGAGTCGGAGTAACATAGGTTTAATAGGCTAGGCGACTATATTTCTCCACATTCCTGTGTTGATTTCGGAATAGAAGACTTTATTAGAAATGATCTTGGAGTAGCTGGATCAGTTTGACAAGAATGATGTCTTCAGGTAGGTAAAGTTAAAAAGTTTTAAGCCCAAGCATCTCGGATCATGAAATCATCCTTAAAATTTGAACCTAAAAATAGGATCGGTGCAACCATTTCTCTAACTTTAGGGTTGCGGCTACCTTTGTACCAAAATGATGTCATTGGTTTTGAATGTAATGTCTATCTCATTTATGTTTTCATTATTTCGAAGGAAACCGAAAGTATATTATTTTTCTCCTATCTAAACCCATAACATATTCTGGTTTATGTTTTTTCTTACTTTTGAACAGGCCTAGAGAAACTGGATATGTTTGAGAAATTTGAAAAGGAATCTGAGGTAAAATTTCCTAGCATATCTCATTGAGCATATACTTTAGACTTGAACATACGGCTTCTCGAGGGAAAAACACTTTTGAAACTTGGATCGAATCTATACTTTCTTTTTATCTTTTAGTAAAAAAGCATTAGTGTTTTTTTCTTGTTTTGTTAAATCTTTCTCGTAATGGATGCTTGTTTACCTAAATGGATTTGCAATGTTTGTTCACTCGACAGGGCAAAGAAGGAAAGGAGAAAGGTGATGGAGAAGAAGATACAGATGAAGAACAGGGAGAACAGTCTGACGAATCATACAGTGACGATGGCGATTATAATGAGGTCCACATAAAGCTTGAGACGCAAGCCTCATTTGAATTCGAAAGCTTGCTTAGACATAGTATTAATTTACATGATATCTGCGTCTGTTATTCGGTTTACTTATAAGAGAGTCTAAAGAATTTCCTTAAAGAAATAGAAATAAATGTTGTGTATTTGGATTGGAATTTTGTTTCCAAATTGTCCTCACAATGTTTCCAATTTTGCAGAACGAACATTTCGATGATGATGAAGATGATTTTAACGTACAAGATGACGGCGAAGGTATGCATTTGGTCTCTTCTGCTTACCATTTGCGACTATTGTCGATGGAGCGTTGTAATGATTTTTTTTTTTGGTTTCAACTGTGTGCAGATGAACCTATATATTAGGTGCTCTTCAATTGGAGTGGTGGAATCAGTGAGGCCAAGACAAAATGCCCTTTTTACCTTTGTAAATTTCTCACATTAGATACATGGAAGGCATGCTTAAAAGAGAAATCCAAATTACCCACATTTTTATTGTTATTGCATAGGGATGATTTATTATTTTTTTCAGTTTTTATATTTTATTTTAAGTTATTGCACCATACACCTTCAAACTATAGTCCTTGTTCTAAATTGGTCCTTGAACTTTTGAATATTCCAATTTCATCCCCAAATTATGACATTTTAAATTGATCCCAAAACTTTTGAACATTTTAATTTCATTCATAAACCATGACCTTCATTCTAAATTGATTTCTAAACTTCAAAACGTTCCAATAATTTTTCTCTTATATCATGTAAAAGTTTAGGAAAATTAGAACATTTTAAAGTTTAAGGATTAATTTAAAATAAGTTAGTATGAGGATGAAACTAGAATGTTTAAAATTTTATGAATCAATTTAGAACGATGATCATAATATTGAGGACATATAATGCAATTAACTATTTTTTTATTAAAAACTTATTTATTTTATTTTAGTTCTGAATAGTTGAGACGATTCTTAACCATTGGCAACTCATATACACCATACAAACATAGCAGCTCAAACCCAGAATCATAAGAAAGAACAACACTCTCTTTAACCACTAAAATATGTTATAATTTCATTCTTCACTAAAAATAAAGCTTTAATTCATAGAACATGACCAAATTGTTAATAATAAAATTTATATATAGAGAGAGCAAGTACATTTGGCCAGTTGGTCAGGTTGCTCATCTTTGTTTTCTTATATTCTTTTAGGTTATGAGTTCTAGACCCATTAAAAACATTCCCCTTTATTTGCTTAGAGTCCTCGTTCCCTCTAGGTAGGATTAAGATTTGATTTAAGATTTTTCAGAAAAAATATACATAAAGTGGTAAATTACTCCAATATTGCAACTAGAATTTTTTTCAAAATATTGAAGATACTAATTTATTTTTCAGTCTATAGCACTTTGAACAATAATTTGAAAGATGGTTTTAGTGCAACCCGTTTTTACCGTTCAGATTATTTTTTCGAATGAAAAATTTGAGACAGTTGGAATACAACCCATCTTGATTGTTCATATATATATGTATATTGTTGAAAACATTTTTGTGTTTCGATATAACAAATTAAGATTAAATAAATTTTAAGATTTTACAAATGATTTTCTAAGTATATTCGATTTAATTAATTGAATATCAAATTATTACTCAGAGTCTTTCAAGTTCAAATTCAAACCTTACTAAATGTGTAAAATTGTGTTTTATACTTAAACTATTTTTGAAACAAATTTCACAAAGTATTTTGAACCAAAATCAAGCCTAAAATCAAATTTTCAAAGTGATGCACCGATGCACCAATCCATGCATCGATGCACCAATTATTTTGTCAAACATCGAATGCATTTTATGCATCGATGCATCGATGCACAAGACCATGCATTGATGCACTCAGGCTTTTTCAAAACATCGAATGTATTTTATGCATCGATGCACTCTTAGTTCACCGATGCACTGAGAGTCAAACGGTCAAAATATTTGAATTTTACACTGATGCACCGATGCACCTAGGGTATGCATTAATGCACTGACGCTCCCAACTGCTTTAATTAATTGTTTTCACACTTAAACGGCTCTATTGACTTCACTAATCATCCCCAACGTTCAGAATCATTTGAAGGTGTATTTAAACAAGCTTAGAAGACATTGATCAACAACAAGCAACTAGAATCAAGAGAAAATCAAAGAGAAAGCATCAAACCTCAAGTTTGAGCATTTCAATCCTATTTTTCATTCAATATTTATTTTGCTTTCGAGAACACTACTTGTACTCAATTGTATTCATTCTTGAGTGTTCTTTTCTTTGTTCTAGAATTGTGCAAACAATCTACCTTGTGAGGATTTCCTTGTAGGTTTGCAAATTTGTAATCTTCTCTTTGGGAGAGAGTGTTCTCAAGAATTTGGAGTATAATTCTTGAGGGATTTGTAAGGTTACTCTTTGTCCTCAAAAGAAAGAAAAATTAGTGAATTTGTGGAAAATTCTTAGTGTGAATAGCTAAGGTAGTGGACGTAGACTTTGGTTGAGAAAGTCGAACCACTCTAAATCGCTGCGCAATTACTTTCAATTTTCTACATAGCTTCAACCGAAATTTTTATTTTCCAATTCACCCCCCTCTTGGACATATTCGTCGATCGATTAACTCAACAATTGGTATCAGAGCCTCACTCATTTGAAGGTTTAATCGCCTCTTATGTTGATTCGGGAAGAGTTACATCGATTGTCAAGTCATTAATGGCCTCTACTTCAAATGTCGACTCCGGTCTCGATTCGATGCCCGTCAACAAGCCTCATTTCTTCAATGGAGCTAACTATGCCTATTGGAAGAATAGGATGATGTATTTCATTCAAGCAAGTGACATGAGAGCATGGAATGTTGTAGAAGACGGATATATCAAGCCTCTCACTCATCCAAGATTGTGGAGTGAATGAGAGACAAGAATGTTCCAGCTCAACTGCAAAGCAATCCATATCATATTTTGTGCTCTTGGACCAGATGACTATGGAAGAGTTTCATCTTGTACAACCGCCAAAGAAATATGGGATAAACTACAAGTCACTCATGAAGGCACCGACGAGGTAAAAGAATCTAAAATTAGTCTTCTAACACATAGCTATGAAAATTTCAGGATGAAACCAAATGAAGATATCAAAGCAATGACAGATAGATTCTCAACGATTCTCAACGGCCTCAAATCATATGGAGAGATCATTCCAAACGAAAAGCTTGTGAGGAAGTTAGTTTACTCACTTCCAAAATCATGGCAATCCAAGAAGACTGCAATCATCGAGGCTAAGAACCTAAAGTCCTTAACTCTTGAAGAGCTAATCGGTTCCCTCCTCACTCATGAAATGATGCTTGAAGATGAGGTGGACCTCGATAAGATTGACGAGACACCAAAGGAGAAGGAGAAGAAGAAAAACATTGGAGTTGCCCTCAAATCCAAAAAAGATGAGAGTGATTCGGATGAAGATGACAATGATGAGGAAATGGCATTGTTTGCAAACGGTTCAGAAAAATGATGAGACCTTACCGAGGAAGAAAATTCAAACGAAATGAAGGCCTAAAAAATGAACCAAAAGAGAAGGACCCTATCATTTGCTATGAATACAAAAAGCCGGGGCATGTCAAATATGATTTCCCAGAATTGAAGAGAAAGGGTCAATCAAAAAATAAGCATAAGCACGAGGCTTATGTGGCTACATGGAGCGATGAAGAGGGTTTCGATGAAGAGGAACAAGAAGTAGCAAACTTGTGCTTGTTGGCATTCGGGGAAGATTCTAAGGTAATTAACTCATCTAAATTTGACGATTTATCTTATGATGAGCTATTAGAGGAATATAATGGGTTGGCATCGGATGATGAGAAATTGTTTTTAAAATATAAAAATGATATTTCAAAATTGAAAAATGAAAATAAACTCATATCCAAAACCAACAACGATCTTGAAAGTAAAATCAAAGATTTGCAAATCAAACTAGAAGAGTTTGAAAAGAAAAATTTGGATTTGCAAAATTTACTTTCAAAGGTCAATGATGATCATCAAAAGAAAATTGATGATCTTAAAACTTCTTTTGATAAAAATGGAACAAAACGTTTTGAAAATGGAGAAAATTTAAAATCCAACTTTGTTAGAAAAAGTTTTAAAAACTACAATAATAGAGGTCCCCGAAGAACCTCTAATGGAAAAATCGTTAGAAGTATATGGGTTCCTAAAGGACTCATTACTACTAAAGATAAAGATATCCTACACAAATGGATACCTAAGGGGACTAGCATTTTGGAAACTAATGAACCCAAAAGAATTTGGGTACCAAAAAATAGAAATTAATCTATATTTGTAGGAAAAGGAGCATTGCTACAAGGCACGGGAATCAAATTCAAACTCATGGTACCTTGATAGTGGATGCTCAAGACACATGATTGGGGACAAATGCCGGTTCATAGAGCTTAACGCCAAAAATGGAGGAGAAGTGACTTTTGGTGATAATTCAAAAGGTCACATAGAAGGTATAGGTACTATAGGTAATACCTCTTCCATACAAATTAATTTTTTTTTATATGTGAATGGATTAAAGAATAATGTCTTGAGTTTTAGTCAATTATGTGAAAGGATTCAATGTCATGTTTGAAACTAATGGTTCTAAAGTTATTGACATTGCATCTAATCGAATTATGCTTGTTGGTCATAGAATAGGAAACATATACATGGTGCATTTAGACTCTATTAATATGACTAATTTATGCCTAGTTTCTAAGGATGAGCATGATAGTTGGTTATGGCATAGGAGACTAGGACATGCTAGGATGAGTATTTTGCAATCAAGAAAATTTAGTGTAAGGGTTGCCTAAGCTTAAATTTGATAATGATAAAATCTGTTATGCTTGTGCTAAAGGAAAACAAAAGCGAATTTCTTTTAAATCCATTAATGATGTATCAACTGGTAGAGTATTACAATTGATCCATATAGATCTTTTTGGGCCAACTAGAACTACTAGCTTGGGTGGAAAACAATATGCATTTGTCTTGGTAGATGACTATTCTAGATATACTTGGGTTCTATTCTTAATTACTAAAGATGAAGCATTATAAAAATTCATCACATTTTCAAAAGTAATCCAAAACGAAAAAGGTTACTCTATAACTAATGTTTGGAGTGATCATGGAACTGAATTTGAAAATCTTGGATTTATTGATTTTTGTAATTCTAATGGTATTAGTCATAATTTTTCAGCACCTAGAACCTCTCAACAAAATGGAGTTGTTGAGAGGAAAAATCGAACTTTAGAAGAAATGGCTAGAACCATGCTCTGTGAAACAATTTGCCAAAATATTTTTGGCCGAAAGCCACAAATACCGCTTGTTATGTTGTAAATCGAGTAATGATTAGGCAAATCTTAAAGAAAAATCCATATGAAATTTTCAAAAATAAAAAGCCTAACATTAGCTATTTTCATCCTTTTGGATGTAAATGTTTTGTTTTAAACAATGGTAAAGACAATCTTGGCAAATTTGATGCTAAAAGTGATGAAGGAATTTTTCTGGGTTATTCCTTAAATTCTAAA